TTTAAAATCCTGTCCTCGACCCGTTTTGCTACATATTATTCTGTGTGCAGTACCTCCTATTAGGATGATTTTCTTGTGCCTCAGTTCTTTCTGGATAGTTTTTGAAAGTCAAGTTGAAATAAGCCAGAGTTTGTGCCAGTTTAGATATAACTAAATTACTAAATTATACACATTTTATTGCTGTTCCCATGACAAGAGTATCTTCTAGATATTCTTTTTAGTAGGTCATTGAATCTTTTTTACTTTATGGAGCAGCAAGAAATGCATGAAGGAATTTGAATTTCAAGAGGCTGTCTTGCATTTATATCTACGCATTGGCATTTAGAGTCTATAAAATAAATTGGAAGTGAATGTTTTATTTACCTGTTAGACTCTCAGCTAGATCATCAAGTAGTACTTTGCCAGATATATTGGAATACACTTGATGGTGTAGAAATGGAGTGTAAAGCCTTTCATCAAAAGTATTTTTGTGTGCTGATCTCATGAGGATTTTAATGTCAGATAAAGTACCTGTACATATAACATAGAAGCAAAAATTATTTGGAAAGTAAAACTGTCATATGTATTCTTTTTTATATATATGAGCAAAATAGTCCCTATTTATTGAAATCTATTTTAGATTAGGAATCGTTATACTACTTCACCTGGTGAAATTGCCACATTTCTTGATAAAGCTGACAGCGTGACTGATAGCTGCACACCCAAGGTTAGACCGAGGAGTTGGTTTCTCTCTGGCTCTCTCTCCTTTTAAGCCTCCCTTTCATGTGCAGCCAAGAGAAATGTAAGCTCTGCAGCTCCTTGGGGGCCTGGGCCTGATGAGAGGAGGCAGAAGAAAGGCAGCAGTTTGGAAAGCCTGCCCAAGGCACCGGGGGCAAAGGGCCCGGTGATGACATGACTCCCAGACCTTTCCAAGGAGATGAATGAGAAGGCGGTGCCTCCCTGAGCTCTGGGTGTATTTCACCCGCAAGAGTAGTCCCAGGCTATCAAACCAATTGTTCTGGCTTTATCCTTCAGATGTTGCAAAGGAAAAATAAATACACTCTTTTATTGTTCTTCCAAGTCGTTAACCGTTTATCTGTAATCATCTGCAGTTTATGTGGGAATAAGTCTTCTAAGGATCACTGCACTTTGCTGGATTTGAAATCAGAGTAGAATTCATTTCATTTAATGTGGGAAACCTTTTGAGAAACTTGACACAAACTGACTTCTCAGCCTCTTAGAATGGAATCGAAAAAGAACACCATAGAAAAACACAGCCAGATGCACGGGTTAGAGCGCCACGAGCTTTATGACTCTTTCTCTGTGGTTACTGATCACTGCAGTGACCACAGAGAGTCCATGTGACTGGGCGAATTTCAGGTTGCAGTCACAGGGATGTAACTAGGCAAGCCATAACGTGTATCACTGAGAAGTTGTATCCCTGCTGTTCCTTGTGTTAAGCATGTTGGATGATTTTAGGAACACTTAATACATTTGCTTTGGTGGAAAAGTGGCCACTGGTGTGTGGAAGTGATCTGTGAAGAAATAAATTCCTCCAGCTCCCACATCAACATATCACAAAAGACCATACTAGGGATTGACAATTTGGGGATTTTACAGATCTCCTCAACAAGCAGTTCAGAATGGTTTCTAAGAGTGCTAAATCAGTTTCTTGGTGCATGGATTTGGCTGGCATGGATTTGGGCAGAGCGGGCCAAACAGAGCTAATTGAGGTGGGGGGGTGGGAATCGAGAGAACAGGCCGTAATGGTGAATAGAGTTATTTGTCACCGAGTTTGTAATAGGATTTTCAATTAATTCATGCAGGCATCCAGTGCCTTACATTAGCCCTGTCAAGATGAACTACAGCCACATCTAAAATGCCATCTTCTATTAAACGGTGCATGTCCTTGAATTTGTAATTTCTTCTGTTCAACCAGAAGATGAATGGATTCCACTCAGAAAACAAATGTGTGCACATTTCGACATCCCGAACACTTCCTAGGAGGAACATTCTTTGCATTGTTATACAGTGAAGATGTATTAAAATGTAATTGCCATGAGAATTCGTCCAAAGAGAAAGGCATCCAGCTGCCAGAGACAAATACATTTTCAGGTGCCATGTTTCACTGGTGAGCCAGCTTTGCATTCTGGGCGATGACGACGATGGAGGTAGTTCACGTATGTGGCACCTGCTGCCCACTGGGCCATTTGTGGTGGCTTTCTTACATCTGTTCACTAATGCTCACAACGACCCAGATGAAGAAAATGAGGCACAGAGAGGTTCCCCTGCTCAAGGTCACACAGCTAATAAGTGGCTGAGCTGGGATTCAAACCCAGGCATTCGGCTCTGGAGTCTGGCCTCCCACCAGGTGCCCGGTGCTGCCAGATCATGGTCCCATCAGCTGTGTTCCAAGAGCTGGTTTACTGCAGTAGTTGTCATTGCTCAGTCTCTGGCTCGATCACTCTTCCTGTCTCTCTCTCATAGTAATATTCATTGCTGTGTGTATTTACTGTCATTTCCTCAAACCTGTCTTGGGAAATATTGGTCTGGGATAACCAGACCTCAAGAAATGCGTAATGAAGAAGAGAATGTCGTGAGGCATCTCCGTGAGAGTAGACAGAGGTTAGCATCCTTCCACAGAGTTGGACACTGACTGTGACCCAAGTTCACAGGATGGTGAAGCACCAGAGTTCCTGGTGGGCATTTCCCTTCTGGGGAAGCCGAAGGGCACAGCAGGACTGTTCACAAGATCCAGTCAAGGACGGGCAACAGGAGTCAGGCCATTCTTTAGAGCTAGGATCTCCAGGCAGGGTCCAACAGTCAGAGGGCACATGAGGGTCCCAGGACTTCTGGAAGGTTCATCCCCTGTCTTCTGGGACATTGGCCTCGAGAGAAGCTCTAATCTACCAAAGGCAGCATCTTGCGGGCCAAGCAAGACCAGATGACTGCCAGTAGCATGCTGCGATCCAAGAATTGGCTCTTCCCCTCAAGCCAAACAAAATTAACAAAAAAAGTCTGGCTTTTATAAGTAGGTCAGGCTCTACCTCTCTGACTAGAAACCAAACTGTTTTTTAAAACTACATTATGCAGTTTTGTTGCTATCAAGGTTCTAAAACTGTGATTCCCTTTTTTTTTTTTTTTTGTATGTGTGGGGGCTGGGGCTAGGGAGAGGGTAGTGGTGTAAGTCATGTTCCCTGTTGCTCTACTTCATTAGAAAGAGTAAACGTTCAAAAAAAAAACAAAACACCATTTCAACCAGTTTAGACCTGTGCTGTGCACATAGCTGTCTGCCCGCCAGTCCACTTCCTGTCCATTTTCCGTCTCGCTGCCACACTCCTCTGCCTGGCACGCGGTTCTTACCGTGGCTGTCTGTGCTTCCAGCCTGGGAGTGGCTTATCACTGCTTGAAGGACACAGCAATTGAACCTCTTTAACATGTCACTCAAGACTCTCCATAAGAGAGCCTCAGCCCACCTCTCCTACGCTTTGTATTCCACAGTCGGTCTCCGGGAACCGGTTTCTGCGTGAGACCCCACTCCCGCCGCACAGCATGCGCGTCGTCTGCGGGTGCTGTCTCCTCTGCCCGCCGTGCCCTCTCTGTTCTCTCTCCTCCTTCCACTCCAGCCTGGCCTGGCTAACTCCTCCTTATCCTTTAAGACTTGGCTCAGGCGTCACTTCCTCCAGCAAGTGTTTCATCTTTTTCACCCATCGAAGACCTGTGCTGTCTGCTCCTCTGTCATGTCGGTGTCCTTGTATAACTCTATGACTGCCTTCACCACACTGCATGGCAGGTGTTTCTAATGCCTTGTCCCTTAAGAACTCAGCCCTGTTCCTTTAAAGTCTCAGCACTAGCACGTTGCCTGGGAAAAAGGGAAGGCTTGATTGATACATGTTTTCTGGATGAAGGAATAAATGAGTAAGTACATGAAAAGCAGGAGCCCAATAATCTCATGCGGCAAATGCCTGTGAACGTGTTTGATTTGATATTTATTCTTCGAATCAGTGATAGGCAGCAGTGTCCCAGAGAGGTCAGAGCTCTCCTCGGAGTGACAAGTAATGCTCAAGAATGGGTACCTTTAATGCCATTGGGAAATCCATTCGATGATTAAATTGCCTGGGGGCACGCACATTTTTAAACCTGTCGTTTTAAAATCGTAATGCAATGCAGTAACGTTTAAAACGTCAACTATTAGCATATCAGCCTAACGGTGCTCTGTAACCAGGAAAGCGCAAAGTTGAATGATCTTGTATAGATTGTAAAAGACCCTGTGTCTGTACAATTACAGATTATAAACTCTGAGAGGGCAGCAGCTGTGGCTGTTGTATATTAGACCCTGGCGCATAGTCGACCCTCAGTATTTGAGTTCATGAGAGAATAGGACCTACTGTCCACATGAAAAGTAGTTGGGAAAGTTTTGCCCAAAGCCAACTCTGCCGATGCGATTCCCAGCCAGGGCACCTGCCCAGGTTGTGGGCCAAAGTCCCAGTGGGCATGTAGGAGGCGGCTGGTCGATGTTCTCGCTCATCTATGTTTCTATTTCTCTCTCTCCCTTCCTCTCTCTAAAATCAATAAAGAAAAAATACTAAAAAAAAAAAAAAAAAGACAGCAGTTGGTAAATAAATGAATTGTGCTTCTATTTAAGTTTTTCTTCCCAATGCTTATCATTTGCCCTGCTGAATAAATGCTGTCAGACAATAAGTTTGTTTTTTTATGAGTTTTTGAATTTCACACCAGGGAGCCAGACTCAGCAGTTGTATTTCCATGTATTAAATGCCCCAAACATACCCTACTGAGTTAGCCTGAGGAGTAGAAAGTTCAATCACAAGAGGGTGCATGGGTGGGCTACAGTTCTTTCACTGTGACATTTGTATTTGCTATTTTTTGGTGAAACCAATGTATAATATTTTTCTGTAAGATTTTCTTCCTAGGGCAATGTATTTAAGGTTTGACCTTGGCTAAACACAGTTCCAGACATTTTGGGAATGTTTTCCTCACAAAAACTCCTCTCTTTTTTTAAGGGTATACCTCAGTTACCATGTGCCAAAGCATTATACAACTACGAAGGGAAAGAGCCTGGAGACCTTAAATTCAGCAAAGGCGACATCATCATTCTGCGGCGACAAGTGGATGAAAATTGGTACCACGGGGAAGTCAACGGGATCCATGGCTTTTTCCCCACCAACTTTGTGCAGATTATCAAACCATTACCTCAGCCCCCACCTCAGTGCAAAGCACTTTATGACTTTGAGGTGAAAGACAAGGAAGCGGACAAAGATTGCCTTCCGTTTGCAAAGGTAATGTTAGAATGGGATTGTTTTCCTTTTGCTAGGTGGTCCCCTGTACCTGGATCCAAGGCAAGATGGCTTGTATTTAATTTTGCAAAAAAAGTACAGTAGTTTTATGTGGACTATATCACTGTGCTTTTAAAAATACTTGGAAGCAGTCTTCTTAAAAGTCACACGGAACGGAATTTTGTCCTTGCATTTGGATTGCTCTATAGGAAAGGTAATTTTGGTTGATGCTCTAGAGAGTATCATTTTCATATTTAGAGCGTAAATTTAATTCTTCGGTACTATAATGGGGTATGTGTGCCACTCAGGGATTTTAATTCACTGAATTATGAATATCAAAAGGAAATATTATTCCGTCCTTATTTTCTATGTAAATTCATTTGCTGAAAACTCACAGGACTGTATTTATTGAATTGATAATACCTGAATTCTAAGTTGGCTATTGTGGTTTTTTTGTAAAGAAAAACAGTAGGATATGCATTTAAATGGGCATTTGGTGTATTATCAGAGAAAGTGATGAGATCCTGAGACTCAATCTAAAACAGGTTCAGGAGGCTGGGTCGCATTTGAGGTCCCAGTTTGTGAATCTAAACAAAGCAAGCAGCCAACACATGTCCAGAGGGTTCCTAGTTTAACAGCTCCCTGAAAGGACACCAAATGGACTGAAAGTTACCACTGAGTTCATCAAAACACTGGATTCATATACTAGCGATGTGTCACAGCGTTTTCATTCATGTACTCTCAAAACTTCAGTCCCTTTATTGAAAAGGAAAATTCAGTGACAAGCCCGATGGGATCAGGCAGAGTAATGCTTATTGTTCCTTTAGGATGATGTTCTGACTGTGATCCGCAGAGTGGATGAGAACTGGGCTGAAGGAATGCTGGCAGACAAAATAGGAATATTTCCAATTTCATATGTTGAGGTAAGTTCATCTGTAGACAACATATATCATGTTAGTATTCAGCTTAGCAAATACACCTCAGTTATACCATTTGAGTATTAAGAAGTCCTAATCATAATTTTGCAATATAGACATGTATTAAATCATTATGTTGTATACCTTAAAAACCAGTGTTGTATGTCAATTATATCTCAGTAAAACTAGGGGTTGAGGGAGAGAAAAACCTAGTCCTTTAAAAAAAAATAATGTCCGCCCTGGCCGGGCGGCTCAGTCAGTTGGAGCGCCGTCCTGTACACCAACAAGTTGTGGTTTGATCCCCGGTTGGGGTGCGTATGGAAGGCAACCCATTGATGTTTCTCTCTCCCTCTCCCTTCCTCTCTCTAAAATTAATAAAAGCATATCCTCATGTGAGGATTAAAATAATGATAATAGTGCTGTCCCCCGACGTAAAGTGCTGGGAGGACCCTGTTCTAGACCACTGGATGGATCAGGATCCCTCCATCCTGCATGACAACAACGAAAGATGATGAGACTGTGAAATATTTAAAACCCTTCCCTTTGGGCCCCTGCTGACCACATCCCTGCGTCTGGTGAAATGTCACTGTGTGCTTCCTGTCAGCACCTCCACGGTTTCCAGGGTTCTAACCCCTTTGCCAGCTTTGGGTTCAGGAGGTTGATTAGGTTCCTCTGTGAGGTGGAAGATGAGAATGAACCAGGAAGTTGCATTACAGTAGACCTTCATTCATTACGTGACATATCATAAACTTGCATGTCCTTGAGTCAAAAGAATTTCTTGCTGGAAACAAAATGAAAGGCATTTAATTAAAGGCAACCATACAAGGTCAGCTGAGGTCACAGAAGGCTTCCGGGAGAGTGCGTTCTCAGTGGGTATCCGTGTGATGGATAAAAAGGGGTTAACCAAGAGAAATGGAGAAGATGAATTTTTCTGGCAGGAAGAACACTGATGCAGGCAGACCAGCATGTGCAAAAGCCAAAAACTAAGAACCAGCACCGATTGCTTAGGGAACTGGAAGCAATGCTGTTATTTAAGATAGCAAAGCATGTGACAAAGGAAAGCCATCACTTCTTTTCCCATCTTTTATCTGAGGCATTTGTTTTGGCATGATTCTGAAAACTAGAGTGACACTCAATTTCCCCCTAGATAGGTGATATTGCCAGAGTTTTCATGAAAAATCAGTTTGACTACCGCGTATCCATGGAAAAATAATTCAAACCATCTCTGAGCCTTGAACTTTATCCATACCCTGCAGATATTCCTGTTTATTGAAATATTTGTTCTCCTTTGAAAGTAAACACCGAAAATGGTTCTTAACTCTCTGGCAATCCTTCCTGTGTATTATTTATATATTCTAACTCTGGGTCATGGAAAATGACAACCATTTCCAAGAATTAGAATAGTTCACTGAAGAGCATGGGTGAGCACAAGCTTAGTAATGAAAGCTTGTCTTTACTTGTTAGGTATTATCAGTATTGCATGCCAACACTTGGCGTGTGGTGCGTGAAAAGGGATTGCTATACTTTTATTATTGGACAGGTGTCGAATTGCTCGGATAGGCATAAAGATCCACCCAGGGAAAGTCCAGAGTCACGCAAGTCATCGGATTATTTACTCTTGACTTAAGCTGGAAAGATAAACTGCTGCCCAAGTGGAAAGTGTGTTCATTCTTTTCTTCTGCCTCTTTTCTTTCAAATGAGTATTTTCTTCATTTGAACCAGAATTTTGCCAGTTCAGACCAGGTAAACAAACCATCCATCTCTCGGAGACTGGGACTGTTTCTTTGATGTCAGGCCAGAAGTTTCTGGTGGGGAGCAAAGCATCTGGGGATTAGTGACACCTAGCTTGGCCTTCATGGTAATAAAGTGAAGGCAGATTTCAACAGCAACCTACCAACATCCAACCGTTTAAATGAAGTATAGACTGTCTTATGAGACAGTCTCAGATGGAGGAAAGCCAGCTCTAGGAATCAAACTTGGGGCTTTTTTCTGAATAATGCTTTCTTTTGCTCTGTAAACCACTTCAGGGCCCAGACCATACCCAATTAAAAAAAAAAAAAACAGGCTGTGTTACAAAAATTCATTTGTAAACTGTTTTCTTATATCTTGTAAACAGACATTTAAGTCTCCATCCGTCTTAGCTACTCTTTGCTTTTTTTCATGGTACTGCCCAAAACTGACACCCCTCCCCCAAGGTGTTTTGAGAAGATCAAATGGGATAATATATCTCCAGGGGTCTGGCACTGCTCTGACTTACGCCCAGTGGTTTGGAGCTCAGATTAGAGAGTGTGCCAGAATGTAGTCATGATCAAATCAAAGAATCTCACCAGCACGTATCCTGAGTGAGATGAATTCAGAATCGCATTCCAAGTCTCCAGATAAATGTCTTCATTTGCCACAGGCTCATCAGAAGGAGCTGAACCACCCCCGACCCCCCTCAGTCCTTGGTTGGCTTTGGTAATGGAGAGGCCCAAGGAAGTTCCTCATGGCAGAAACTAAACAGGATGGGCCTGGGGATAGGATGGACCTGGAGAAGATTCTCTGAGGTCAGAGGTTGAGGTGTGGAATTAAGGGGTAGGGTCATTTGAACGGAACTGAACCTTAGAGATAGGTAAAGAGAGAACTGAGCGGGAGGACTGAGCTAGTGAGAAATACTACTGGAATGGTTGGCCCTCCATTCTGGTCTTCAGTTGTCCTTCTCGCGTCTCCTTCCACTTCCCACAACTGTGGGCGGCGGTCTCCACATGTGTTAGAACAGGAAATAAAATGGCGCTGGTGGTGTCAAGGCTTGCAAACTAATGACTTCTTATTAAAGCACAAAATTCTTGCCCTGGCTGGTTTGGCTCAGCGGTTAGAACGTCGACCTGCGGTCCAGAGAGACCCAGGTTGGGTTCCCGCTAAGGGCACGTACCTCGGTTGCAGTTTGTCCCCGGCCCTGGTTGGGTTGTGCGGGTGGCAACCACTCGATGCGTCCCTCTCATGTCGATGTTTCTCTCTCTCTCCCTCCCTCCCTCCCTCCCTCCCTCTCTTCCTCCCTCCCTCCCTCCCACTCTATCTGAACAAAATATGGGGGAAAAAATGTCCTCAGGTGAGGATTAAAAAAAACACAAAATTCTTCAGGAGAAAATTGGTTGGGGGCAGTGGGTAGGGGCAAGAATGGCGATACAAATGGCCTTGAATTCTATTTCTTGGAGTCTTTGTTTAAATTCTTAAAACAGCATTCCCGTGCTTTGATCACATCCCCTCTTCCCTTCTGGAGGTGCTGTCATCAGACTCTTCTTCAGTTAAGGCGTAGAGGTTGTGGGTTCTAATCTATTTAGACAGGATCCTCCTAGACTTGAGCAGGTTGGAAATAGTGAGGGGTAAGAGTTTCTCCGGGAAACCCAGGGAATTCTCGAAGGCACCATGCCAGGATATGTATAAAAGAGTATATTTGTCAAGAACTGAATGCAGTTAAAAAAAGAAATCAATGTCTTGCTTCTTTCTTAGTTCAAAAACACCAGTCTTTCATGGAACAGAATGGAAGATTTTAGCACCCCCGTTAATTCGGTTCTGACTCATGCAAGTTTAGCTGTCATTTGGGCAAGGATGACATGATTCTTAGCAAAAACCTTTGAATGAAGAAAGTGCTACATACACATCGGATTTGGGGCATTTTCAAAACATTATTGTGTACTGTTAGCTTATGATCATTCATTTTCATTAAGTTTGTCATTTTACTTAGATTCCTAGTCATTTGTTTAAAATATCACTCAGTTAAAAAAAAAAATTATCAGCTTGCCCCTCTGCTGTAGATGTGAAAATAAGCATTCCTTGTGTGCGTGAAGTGGGCGTAGCCTAATGGTCGTGTCCTCTTTGTCTTTAGCTACTGCCAGAAAGGAGGGCTACATGTCTCGTTCTTTAGATCCCTGATCAAATGTCCCTTCTGACAGACCTTCCCTCACCTTATCTGAAGCAGTTCTGCCTGTTCCACTTGCTGCATTTCACACACAAGGTGGTGTGGTGGTCATGGGGGAGAAATTTGGATTCTGAACCCAGATGGCAGAGATTCAGATCTTGGCTTGGCCACTAATTGTCTGGGTGACTTTGGCCCTTGTCTCCTCATTTGTAAAATAATACAACCCCTTCATAGGGTGAGTTAATTCCAGTGATACTTGCACACAGTGCCTGGCTAAGAGCTGAGTAAGTGATAACTGTAATTATCATCAATGTTGTTATTATTCCTTCATAGCACTTTTTACTCTCTGAAACTATTTTACGTTATTTGTTAATGTGGTTACTGTCTCTCAGTATTCCATGCCTCCATTAGTGCGTGAACTCCCAAGGCCCAGCATCTTGTCTTTCTGGTTTACCTTGGTCTGCTGAGGTCCTTGTATAGCACCTGTCCCTAGAAGATTTCAGTAAATATTGGTTGAATGAATGAACAGCCTAAGAACCTTTTAAACCTAAACCAAAAACTGGTTTTCAGATGTTGCCAACATTTACATTATATTAGCTAATACTCCATCATTTACCACCAAAACATATGTTTTATCTTTGGTTTATCTTCATGCTATATCTGGAAGTTATAGTCCTCGAAGCTGGAAGAAGGTCTCTTGGGTGATCTCAGTGAGCTCTTTTAAAGATGCAGCTGGATGAGTATTTGGTTATAACAAGTTTAGAATTTTTCCAGACTAAGATAATGGTGGATTATTTTGGATACTCTGAGGATTAGATCATAGAGCCTCTATTTTTAATCTCTAATATAGAGAAGATTCCCTGGTACTTTCTGAGATGAATATTCACCCGCTTGAGATTATGTCTTTGGTTAGGGTGGCCTACTTGTAAGGGAGTCTCATTTTAAAAAAATAAATGTTATCAATGACATGTAGTAAACTACATATATTTAATGTGTGCAATTTGTTGAGGTATTGTTTATTGTTTTCAACTTTTAGAACCAACCCATAGGCAAATCTCGGGAGACTTTTCTAGGGCTAGGAATAGAATTCAGTGTTATCAATCTTAAT